TATTTTAGTGAACATGTTTTGAGTGCAAACTGCCTTCTGGGTAGAGGGAGCTTAGACCATGAGATGCATATAGCTTGTGGAGAGTGAGTCCACCTACAACCTAGGGCATTTCAGTGCATAGAGATGGGGGAGAAGGAGGGACCAGCTACTAACTGCTGGGGTGTGTGTGTGGGGGGCAATATGATTGAGAAAACCCAGGAGGGTAAAGGATGTGTCAAGAAGGAGGATACACAGGTGCACAGAATATTGCTGATGGCTGAATGAAAGACAGTGTAGACTGTGTGGTTGGCAACAGAGAGGCCCCAGTGCCTCTAACAAGAACTGGTTTATGAAGCTGGGAGATTTTCAAGTGAGAATGGGAAGATGGCAAGTTGGGAACAAAGACTATGAATTGTATCTCAGAGAGTTTTACTGCAAAGGATAATAGGGCCAGGACTAGGAGGTGAAACAGGGTTGAGAGACAAGGTAGAGGAGGCATACTCTGAGTTTATTCATAACCATAGTGGGTTACCTTTTGTAAAGTTTTATCTGACTTTACCGTTACTCCCTTCAGCAGAAGAGAAACCATTACCTGTTGTAACCTTTTTCCTTAAAGTTTTTAAAATCTTCCAATTGCAAATCATATCCATTAGTCAAGAGGAAATGAATTTGCAGACCAATCTTGTCCCTTATAAAGTTTAATGCAAATATATTTGAAAAAAAAAATCAGTGTTTGTTTTATCCATGGCTTGGTTTTGCCTGAAGCATTTAAAAATACAAACACATACTACATATACAAGTAATCCTATTTCTCCTCAAAGATTTTTTCTTTGTTAAATTAAGGTTCAAACAAGGACTAATTACATATCATTATTGTATTTTAAAGATATTTGGTTTTTATATGTCTATTGATTTGCTGATAAAAGTAGTTCAGTTGTCATATAGAAAACTTATTTTCTGAATTAGTAAATAGGAATGTCTATGAACTTCCTTATTTACTATCTTAAGTTACCACCCCTGCCCATATTTTCTAATAGCTGGAACTGCATTTGAAGCCCTGGCAATATATAGATTAAACATTTGTGGTAAGGATGTTCATAGGTGATGCCAAGCGCTCTGTGTTGTCTTGTTCTGGGGGCACATGGTGTCTATGTGCCCCACTCTTTGTGATGCCAAGACTCTGCTGTTCTTGGGGGCTTCCTAAATCATGGGGAATGACTTGTGTTTACTTTGACTGCATTTTCTTTTAAAAAAAATTTTGTATTTAGGGAAAAGAATAATGGTGTGTTTATCTGAAGATGGGGTCACCTTCATGGGACCATTTCCTTAAGTAGACACAAGTATATAGTGTGAGTATTACAGCTGGGATGGAAAGCTGTCCTGGTATCAGGAGCCAAGGAATACCACAAAGTCACACTCCAAAACAAACCTCATACAAGAGAGTTATTCCGGGGGCGGGGGGGGGGGAGCCAGGAGGGTAGCTGCTTCTGCTTGGGCCAGAAATAGCAGCAAACTGAATAGGATACAGGACTTATATAGAGTTTCTTGGGAAGGGGGTGGGACTTTTCACCTTGGGGCTTTCTAGGGTGGAGATCAGTGGGATTTCATGTCCAGAGATTGGGCTCCCCCAGCCGAGTGGAGTTGTTACACTGAAGGGGGGACATACACTGTTGTTATACTGGGGAAACCTTTCTCTGGAGCAGGGTGTAATCCTCTATGCTTACAGTGACTTTGTGCTATTCCTTGGCTCCCGACTGCCAGGTTACCTTTGCATCTGAGGTTCAATGCTTACAGGTAGAACCTGGCAGTTAGAGGTCCTTTGGGGAGGGGTCTGGACACTCATGTGGCTTGAGGCGCTTACAAGTGGAATCCAAGTGAATAAGTCACTGTAGGTGATGAACATGGCAGTTCATATGGGTGAACTCAGGTAGCATGGGCTATGACTGCAGTAGTGAAAGGTCTGTACTGGGACACCCTGCTTTTCTAGTGAACAAGGAGCAAGTCCATCAGAGTCGAGTGAGTCTAGGAAAGGAGATCAAGCAGAAGTCTAGAAGAGTGGCAAGTGAATATGTCTGGAAAGGACTATCATTGCTGGACAGCATTAAGCATAGACTGGCCATCAGTGCTCAATAATGGGAAATGAAATCAACCAAGATCACATGACTGGGGAGAGACAGAGCATGGGCCCTTCCCCAGATCAAACTGATAACAAGTCATGTGCTTGCAATTATAACTCGGGCCAGTGCTTAGCATGTATCCAGTGTTAAATGAATCATGGCTGTCATTATCATAGTTGTTAGTTTGTCATTCAGAGCCAAGGGTCCTGCTCTCACTTTTGTAGCTGGTTTAAGATCATCAGACTAGCCATCTCATCAGTGGCAGTGCCTACTTTTGGAAGACCCTTCTGACCCACAGTAGTTCTACATAGACAGTCTCAACTGGCTTACTTTGGGGATCAAGTTAGGTGTGGCTTTTAATCCTCTTAGGAGGCAAGACTTTCTGAGGAAATGCAGTTGGCATGATGAACTAGGAGGCTTCTTTTGATGTCAGGGTGTTACCAATCCAAAAAACAAAAAATCTCATGTCCCAACAGCTAGTGTGTTAAGATTGTCAGGGAACTTTCGTCTGTAGGCAAGAGGTTCATCCAAGGGTCAGGGCTTTCTGAGGGGGTTATGAGAGAGCCTAAGCAACAATGTCTAAGCAAAAGTGTTTAAAGAACAGCTTCATCCAGTTACTGAGCTCCTACTATGTGCTCAACACTCACTAAGTGTTTGGAGTTACTCACTGACAATAGCACTGGAGAAGACGGACAAGGTCTCTTCTATCTCTTCTATCTGTAGTGAAGAGAGGCAGCAATCAGTAGGAATGCACATACAGTGGTAAATACTGACACTAAAGGAAACTTGTGAATAGAGGGGGAGCTGCCAGAGACATTTTCTCATTCTCCCAGGAGACTGCCACAAATCCAATTATTCTCTGAATTGGTAAAGAAAGCCCTGAACTGTTTTTCCTCCCCTATCCTGAACTCAGGACTTACCAAGCAAGCACTCTGCCACTGAGTTAAATCCACAACCCCAGCCCTGTGTTCTTTGGTGAAGGATAAATTGACATCTTCTGCATGTGCTTCTATCATGCCCAGACCCTGCTGTCTTCAATGGAGCATCTTCTGCATCCATTGTCAGGGTACCAACGTAAACCGTTTGGGTGTGGCTAGTCCTCTGTGATAGGATCACTTCCTGTTTCCATTTTACAGGAGAACTAGCTGACTTGAGAGACTCTGTGGTCCAAGGCTATGATCTCATGCTTGCTTTCTGGTTTACAATGCTAGATCCCCTGAAATAGGCTTCAAGGCCAGCCCAATATTATGCTGCCAGTTGAAGTACAGGATGAAGTGTGTTTTCGCTATTGTCCCCAAGAGTTTGCCTTAGTTACCCAACAGACAGAATCAGAGTAAGAAAGAATTTCAACTCCTCACCAACTTTCCAGGCCTGACCCTTGAGCATGCTTGACTTGTGACTGCAGTCCTGGTATGGATAACATGTTCTATCTCCATTATAATATTCTAAGTGTTTTCTTATCTGCAGCTACCAAATTTCACATGTATTTATATTCATTAATATGGATGTAACTTTAAGTCAATAGATTTTCACCGTTATATATAGGTTTGTGATTAAAACCTTTTTCTTTTTAGACACATACTGCTTTGTAGAGTTCCCATTCTTTCCCTATTAATCCTCTTTCAATCCCCACAACTGTAGGAGGTAGGAACTCATTTTATACTTGAGGAAACTGAAATATATATTTGCTCCTTTTTGTTTATCCAGCCCTAGATTTATGGCAATTTGATCAATAGTCAGAAGACCTTAGTGCTAGAGTACTTTCTAGAAGGCTTAAGCTATGTACTTCTCCTTCAGTGATCTGACAACTTTATTGTGATCTGCCCAGCAATGCATAAGGCTGGTTTCAAGACTGCAAAGTGCTTTCAAGTCTGTAAAGCTTATTTTAATGCCCCTCCCTTAAGATCAACCTTAAATATCATATGTGTCTCAACTGTTGTTTTTAATTTATAATTTATCTGTTCAAGGTGCTTGCCTCTTTCTTTTGGGAGGCTTTTTGCCATATTAATCTTTTATTTTTATTTTTATGTTTTCTTACAATTCAAATCATTTAGCTTTCCAATTGCTGTTTTTTTTTTTTTTGTAAATATAGCATCAAAACTGGAAAGACTCAATAAATACAGAGTGAGTTCTGTTTATAGTTTTAAAACCATTATGTATGTTATGCTAAACATAAAGCTTGGCTTTTGTTATTGTTGTTGTTGGGTTTTTTTTTTTTTTTTTTTTTTTTTTTAATGGGTGCACTGGGGATCAAACCCAGTTTACCATACAGATACTCTACCACTGAGCTATATTCCTTTTTTCTCCCTTGAGCTGTATTCTTTATTTTGTTTTAATTATAAAGAGTAATTCATGTCTATTTTAGATATTGTTGAATGGGCATAAGACTTCAAAGATGGAAATGTCCCTTATTCCACAGTCCTAGGGACCATATTTTCCTAGTGCTTTATTTTCTTTTCAAAGTATTATTTCTGAATCTGAATAGCATTTACAGTTCAGTAACCCATGTTCAAAATATATGAACTTCCCCATATCATTAAATATTCTGCTACAAATAAATAATTTTTAAAAATCATTCTGGAGTGATTTTGGAGGGGTGAACCTTTTTGCTATTTATTCTTAAGGGGAGATGAGTTGCATTCTTCTTCCCAGATGGTTTTGTAGTGCCCACTTTATCTTTCTAACGCATCCCTATCTGTCATGGTTTTTTTCTGGGCTCTTTACACGGTCCGTGTATCTGGAGTGTTGCATCTGTAATTTGCCTTTACTCTTTCCAGCATGCTCAGGACTTCCTGGGATATGCCATAGCCCACAGCTACAAAAGCACCTGTCCATCCTGTTAATATTTAACACCACTCTGCTAGAAAAATCACTCTAATCCTCCCCTTTTTATTTGTATTTCAGATGGTTTTTGATCATCCTGAGAAAAATGAGCCTTGGCCTCCAGACCTAATCAAGTAAACCTCTTTCCCATGGAGAATAGTGCCGGTATTCCTGAGGATCTGGAGGGCCAGAAGCCCCAGAGGGATTAGCCAGAAGCAGGTAAGAAGCTCCTAGAAGTTTGAGAAAGTGGAGGGTGATGTTTCTGAGTAAAACAGCATGGGCTCAACTGTGCTGGCAAGTAGCTAGGGTCTTCCTTGTCTCACCACAGCTTCACCACTTTGTCTCTATTCCTTCCTGCCTAGTCTTCTAAGAACTCAGCCAGTGATGGCCCAGGAGGTGGGAATAGTAGGCTTGTCCAACTCTAAGCTTCACATAGAAGGTCTGAATTGTTGTATAACTGACAGCCTTTTATGAGAGTGTTTATGTGCCAAGCATTGCATTTAACAATAAGCATGCTTCCAAGAGTAGATAGAACAGAACTCTTTAGTTACAGACATTTTCTTTATTGTTTATCTTGCTGACTTGGTCTTTATGGGTGATAATTTGCATGGCTGCAGTATTCTTTTTCTATAAGTTTCTTCTTGGTGTAAGGTTTCATTGGTGAGCTTTGCTGGCTCACCAGTCCCTTACTTAGCATGACTCTGCTCTAGGTGTTTCTGGGGCCAATTATTCAGACATGATACCAGGAAGCATTTTCCTCTGAAAAGGTGCTTAGGCTTAAAACCCAAGCTTTGTAAACAAGAGTTGTTAACAAGCAGGGTGTGGTGAAAGTCAAGGGCAGCGAATTCATGAGCTGCAAACCCTGGAAGCTTACAGAATAAGTCTGGTGATAGAAAAAAAAAAAATCAAAACATATACTGTCCCAAAAGTTTTTGGAGAAAAAGTCAGTCTCTTTTCCCTGAGATAGGTATTAAATGAGGCCTTCCCCTGTGTCTAGGCAAGTGAGAATGGGCTGCTCAGCCCTGAGTGGCCATGACTAGAAACCCCAGCTGGCCTCAGGTGAAGATTATATGGAGGGACCACTCAAGCACTGATGGAAGGTTCCAGATGCATGTGGTCAGGCCATGAAGGTCCAGGCCTGTCAATGGCCATGAGAACTACAACAGGATAGCTAGTACTCCACAGGCAGACCTATCACATGAGTGACAGGGAACTGGCAAGGGTGTGGAGTCACTGATTTTGGAAATCAGTTGCTCCTGATGGTGATTTCTCCCATGAGTCACTTCATCTCTTCCCTAAGAATAGCTTGGGTGTTTTCCACTGCTAGTGTCTTTATTTCATTAAATATTCCATCCACTGGGCACATATATCTGTCAGGAGGATGGCTTTTCATTTGGTTCCATAATCTTGATCTATAGAATATATACTGGGTACCTTGTATTCTTGAATAGGCCCCAGAAAAAGGAGTTTCTTCTCACTCAGGCATCAGCGGTAAGAGTGCTCCACTGCTTATCTTGAGGCTGGAAGCAGCAGCCTCCAGATCTCACACTACATAGCCTTAGCTTTTCCCTTTGATATAACACAGAGAAGTCCCCTTTAGTCAGCTAATGTTTGTCAAAAATGCTAATGCGGGTCAAATGCCTCCCATTTTCCTCCCACAGCTTATGCAAGTTGCCACAGCGACTGTGACACTGTGTTCCCAGCAACCTGAAAAGCAAGCAAAGGGCAGTGTGTAGAAAGCACAGAGCTATAGACCCTCCCCCCCCACCCCCCACTCCCGACTTCTTTTACATTTATCAATTAACTAACCACAGAAATTAGTTTTACATACTAACTCCCCTTCTGCTATCTTAGAAATCATAGCCCCTTACTCCAGTAACCCTCAACGCCTCTTAAGTTATGCCCAGACATTTTACAAGTTATGTCTCCTCTGAGACTTAAGGTGCTGCTTTGTCAGGTCTTAGCTGCCTTCCTGGCCCTGGGGTATGCGTGCTGGGCACCCTTGATATTTCTAGAGAATTGCTGATTGTGTCTGTGTGGGTATACAGACTAGAAACCTTGTGGGATCTAGGAGAACTTTTAGAGAGAACGTTAGGGGAACAACTTTTTTTTCTTTTAAGAATAAAGAGTCATGACAAGAATGATATGCTTATGAACTGATTCCTTCGCCCTCAGACCCCTTCAGTTAGCTCTACTCACTTGTTGTGTGAGTCTGGCCTGGACCCTGAGAGAACAAGCATACAGGCCAACTGAGGGTTCTGAGACTGTCATTAGGGTCATCTATGAGAACTCCTTCCCCTAAGCATCCTGGGGAAGGCAATGGCAACCTCCCCTGAGCCTCCAGTCTCAAAACAGTGAAGTGGGACGCTCACTGCCATCGCCCTTCCCTTAGAATTGTAAGTCATTCCAAGTCACTATTTCCTAGTCACTAAGATGAGTTCAGAATTGCGTGCTTTTCCCAAACCTTCACACGGAGCTCATGGGAGCACCATACTGGACATTATAACACTTAATTCGTGTGAAAGAATCCCTGGTAAATAGAGCCCAACAGTGATGCCTGATGGAGGACGCTTGGCTCTGGCTGAGAGTTTCATTTCTGGGCACTCTAGTTTCTGAGTTCTGACAGTCAGCGCTTGCTGTTCTCCAATCCTGATGAAAGACGTCAGTCCTTCGGTGCAAAGACTACACCAGTGGTTCTCAACCTTCCTAATGCTGTGACCCTTTCATACACATCCACATATGCTGACCCTAACCATACAATTATTTTGTTGCTACTTCAAAACTTTAAATGTGCTGTTATTGTGAATCAGAATGTAAGTATCTGGTATGCAATACCCAAAGGGGTTTGGACTCATGAGTTGAGAACCGCTTTGATTAACCATTAGATACAAACTAACCTGAACTGGAATCCTGGTTTTAGCAGTATGGTGATCTGGTGACATTGGAGAAGACTGTACCTTAGTAGTGTCTTCATTATAATACAGAGCATAAAAATTTACTTTGTAGTGTCTGTGTGGTGAGAAATTGAAGGTAAAGTACCTAAGTAGTAGTTTTGGTTTTTTTTATTTTGTTTGTTGTTTTTTTTTTTTTGGGTTATTTATTTATTTATTTTTGGTTTTTGATTTTTCAAGACAGGGTTTTCTCTGTGTAGCCCTGTGTGTTCTGGAACTCATTCTGTAGACCAGGCTTGCCTTGAACTCACAGACCTCAAAGTCACAAAGATCTGCTTGCCTCTGCCTTCTGAATGCTGGGACTAGAGGCATGTGCCACTGCTGCCAAGCTCTGGTAGGGTTTTGTTTATTTGTTTTTTTAATTTATGTGCATTGATGTTTTGCCTGCCTGCATGTCTGTGTGAGAGTATCAGATCCCCTGGAACTGGAGTTACAGACAGTTGTGAGCTTTCATGTGGATGCTTGGGAACTGAACCACGATCCTCTGGAAGGGCAGCCCATGCTCTTAACCTCTGAGCCATCTCTCCAGCCCTTTGAAGTGGGATTTCTTAAATGCTATCTTTCCTCTAGTTACTCTTGAGCCTTCATATGGTCACATGGTTAGTGCTAATGAATGAGTGGGGAAATTTACTTGATTTTTTTTCAATGATATGACAAGCCCTCAGTCTCCCACTTCATGATGCTGCATCTGGATCCTTATCCCTCTGAGTACATTATTATCACTTGTAAAATATCCTCCATTTTGCCTTTCACTCACCTGCAGCATCACTGCCCACATGGCCCTCCTGTCAAAATGCTGCTCTCTTTCCTCTACTCCTGCCTTTGCTCTTAGGTACTTCCAGCTTGGTAGCGCACACTTTCATTTAACGTTTCCAACACACCACAGACAATTGGGCAGAGATGACTATCTTTAGATGCTCAGGGGCATCTTGGTCAAGGTCACTAAGGAAGGACTCAATCAATACCCCAGGCTTCATGAATTTCCCTCTAGTAGTTCTACTGTTTTATCTCAAACATCCTTGGGAACAAACTTGGTGGGAAAGGACTTCAGACTTCCAGTGTTAGCAACGCCCCAGGCAATCGCTTTCATCACAGTGAGTACACTCAAGAGAAGAAAGAATTTAGTGTTTTCCAAAGTATACAGACCTTGTTTGAGTTCAAAGTGCTCCCATTTTTCATTTAGTTACACAGTGAATTTTGAGAAAACAAAGTAGCCCTTTACCCAGATGGGAAGGGACTCTTTTTTGCTATCTTACCAAGATTTCCTATGCTCTGTCACAAAATGATCTAGCTACCTGAGTACACCGAATGCTGGACTGTGAGGCTAACTCTTGTCCAGAAGTCCCAGATCATAGGCCTTCCAGAACTGTGTAACCATGCATAAGGGATTTCTGTGGCTCTTTTAACTGATGGAGGACTTCTGAGAATCTGGGTCTAGTGTATAGACTAGTCTCCCTGTGCCACAGAGTATGGGCCGTAGGAGTGGGTGATGTTACAGGCTCTTGAATGAGCTAGAGCAGAACACCACAGGTCAAGAGTCATGGTGCATAGACTAAGGGGGGAATGATGTATAAATGTTCAGGGCTCAGTGAGGAGTTCAGAGGAATGCTGTCAATATTCAGAGCCCAAATGAAGGCTCTTTATTCTTTTCCTCCTGGCTTGCTCAAGGCTGCATCGTTGGTGGGAGGCGGTTGGGGCTGGACTTGAAGTCTGTTTATGCTACATCCTTTGCTTGGTGCATCACCACACTGCATGCCATTTTGGATATCCTCTCCATCATCATTCTTTCCTTTGTTTTACTTCTCTTAGGCTTGGTTCCTGCTCACAACCGTGGCTCTCCTGCCCGTACCTTTCATTATGATTCACACCAACTTGAAGAAAAAATTTAGCTACTTCGTGCTGGCCTTTCTCCTGTTTGCAGTCATCTGTGTGTGGAAGAAAGGGAGCTATGAGGCTCTTAAATTGCAAGCCAAGGAATTTCAGGTGACAAAGAGCCTGGAGAAGCTGGCCATGGGGTCTGGTTCCCAGTCTACATCTGCAAGCATCAAACAATACCCTAAGCGGGACAGTCAAGTTCTCAGTCATCTCAGGGTCACAGCCAAGGTCAAACCACAGTCCCCCTACCAGGTGTGGGACAAGAATTCCTCATCCAAAAACCTCAATCCCAGGCTGCAAAAGATCCTGAAGAACTATCTGAGCATGAACAAGTATAAAGTGTCCTACAAGGGTCCAGGGCCAGGCGTCAAGTTCAGCGCTGAGGCCCTGCGCTGCCACCTTCGAGACCATGTGAACGTATCCATGATAGAGGCCACAGATTTTCCCTTCAACACTACTGAATGGGAGGGTTACCTGCCTAAAGAGAACATTAGGACCAAGGCTGGGCCGTGGCACCGGTGTGCCGTCGTCTCTTCCGCAGGATCTCTGAAATCCTCCCATCTGGGCAGAGAGATTGGTATGTGGGTTGTTCTCCAAGCAGTTGCTGCTTCTGGGTCTGGTTGGAGATTTTCAAGGCCCTAGAACAAGAACGGGTGCATAGCTTAGAGGACCAGTAGAGCTGTCCCAAAGTCATGTTCTCAGCTACCTTTCTTGGAGTGAAAAATGCTCCCAAATAAATATGTCTAAAACGGCGGGGACCACAGCTCAAACCTTTTTTCTTTTAATGTAGTTTCAAGAATTCACTCTTTGAGAATTTCACACATGTATACAGTATATTTATTTTAACTTATTCAATACGTTTTCTCCTTCTCAATCTTCTTAGACCCCCCCCCACATTCCCTTCCCAGTTTTGTGTCTCCCCCCTTTTCTTTCAATAACCCACTGATGAGTGCTGCCCATATGCACGTGGATGTAGTCTTCCACTGTAGCACCATCAACCTACCTGGTCCCACATCCCTATAGAAAACCGAGCCATTCACAGGGAAGCCCTGAGCTTCCCCTAGAGATAGACTCTCAACCTCCATCTCCCCCCCCCCCCTCGACTTGAGATTATTGAGGGTATATAGGTCTTAGGTAGGCAGTTGCAGCCACTTGGAATACCTGAGTGCAGTGACTGCTAATATCTCTTTTGCCTAGTCCTCCCTGGCCTCTGGCTCTTACGGTCTTTCCATCTCCTCTTCCATGACATTGCTTGAAGATCTACTGTTTTGTTGTTCATTAGAATATTTTTTTCTATCTGTTTCCAATACTGGGGCTGTATGGAGTGTTCCATTAAAAAAAAAAAAAAAAAAAAAAAAAAGCACTGCCAAAAAGCAAAAAAGCCTACATTTGACCTTTGAAAATACTTGAAGCATAGAACTCGACTTTGTTTTTAGTATCTAAGTGTCTGTCTGTCTGTTTATAATCCTGTGGCAAGCAGACAATCATGTGCCACAGAGCTTTGCCTCAGGCTTCGGCCATCACCATCTATCTTGTTTCAGAAAAGGTCTTTCTGTGGTTTGCCACTGCTGGGTACCCCAGGCTAGCTGGCCTCTGAGCTACTGGCGATTCTCCTGTCTCCGTGTCTGGCTTCAGGTGGGTACTGAGAGTTTTGCCTCATGTCCACAGGCTTGCATTTTACCCCCTGAGTTGCCTTGTTAGTCAAGATTCTGATATGTGGCAAATTCCTTTAAGTCTCACCTGGCTAATTTTCAGCTTTTCTCTTAAAAAGAAAAAAAGGAAATCTATATATGTATGTATGTATGTATATATACGCATACATACACATACTCAGCAGAGAGTGTGTGTGTGCACGCATGTGTGTGTACACATGCGTGTGCGCTCAGGCATGCACAAGAATGTGTGTACATTGCTGGGTATGGGTATGGAGGTCAGAGACAACTCTATGGAGTTAGTTTTCTCCTGCTACCTTTATGTGTATTCTACAGATCAGACTCAAGTTACCAGTCCTGTGCCATAAGTGCTGTTAGCTGATGAGTATTTTGCAGGCCTTCTAGCTGGAACTTTTAAATTGGGGGGCTATAGGTTAACACCAGGTGTTGTATGAATCCTTAAAGTTGCCTGCAAAGTTACCAGGAGGTACTTGCAAGCCTGTCTGCCCTTTTCTGGACATGGGCCTGATTCTCAGAGTGCTCTGTGCTTGAAAGAGACCCGGTTCCAAACACACTACTTTGCTATTCGTGAATCCCCTAACATCTAAAAAGTCAAAGTCTGCTCATATTGTAAACCTGCAACTGAGAACTAATTAACGTGTACAAAGTTAGTTACTTCTGTTATTTTGAGAGAACTCTGGCTGTAGAGAAAGCCTTGCTGTCAGGGTGGGGTCCTGGAGATAGTTAAGTCATATACTCCTTTTAATTTTATTCTGGTGACTACTGGGAGAACAGCCTGAAACCAGGCCTAAACTTTGAGAGAAGGAACACAGTCATAAATGTGTTACTCTGAATCCCCAAGTCTGTAGTGCTTCTAATGAGCCCCCTTCCACCCCCCCAGATGGCCAACCCTACCCCAACTTTAGCTTTTGCCCTTTGGTTTCTTTGGACTTGTTCCTAGAAACTAAATGTGATTGAATTCTGTTGTGTGTAATAGAATTAATGTCCTCTGTTTCTTCTCTGCATTTGTTATCGAATAATGGCATTTAGGATGGTTCGTGTCAGACAACCACAGTTCTTTCTATCAAGTTATTGTCTGGCTAAGGTTGTGTTCAGGGTTAAAGCAGAAGGAAGAGTCCTTGTAAACTGGAGCCACAGCTTCATTCACAAACTCATCACCACCACAGAACAGCAGCCAGAAACACTAAGGCTCAAGACTCAATGCAGCATTGACGCGATCAGGTGTGTCATTACTGTCAAGCCTAATGATGGTTTCATTCATGACACTCCTAACAATGGAGTCCAGATCATCTGAGAGGCCACCACTTATCTCCAGTAGAAGAATATCCCCAGGGACTGGGTTAGAAAGTCCACTTGTCCAGGACTTTGGCACAGTGGTTCTTGACCTTTGGGTCATGACCCCCACAGGGTTGCATATTAGGTATCCTGCATATCAGTTTATATTATAGTTCATGATAGTAGCAAAATTACAGTTATGAAGCAGCAATGAAAATACCTTTATGGTTTGGGGGTCCACATCAGGAAGCGCTGCATTAAAGGGTCACAGTGCTAGGAAGATTGGCACACTGCTTGGTGGTCTCTTTCCATCCATGGCAAGGCTGTTCACCAGAGAGACTCCTCAGTGTCTTTTGCCTCCAATAGTCCCACAAATCAGACTACGGTGGCTCCATCATCACTGGGGCCCTTCATTATTACTGATAATGATTTACATGTGCAAGCTATGTAGATATGTAGTTGAGAATTTTATTCCAAATAATAGTAAATTTTTCACATACCATCACCAATAAGCACAATATATTGTATACTTACTGTGTGCTTGGCAAACCTGCTTTCATCTTTTTAAATTTCATTTTTGTACATGGGTATTTTGCCAACATATATGTCTATGTACTGTGTGCATAATTAGTGCCCATGGAAGCTAGAAGATGGGCATCAGGTTCCTGGAACTGGAGTTATATGTGTAGTTGTGAGCTGTCATGTGGCTTCTGGAAATTGAACCTGGGCTCTCTGGAAGAACATCCAGTATAAACTGTGGAGCCATCTCTCCAGCCCCTCAGTTTCAAATATATAATGTTTTTGTTCATTGAGAATTTCCTGCATCCAAACAGTTTATTTTGATCATATTCATACACATGCCCACTCCTCTCAGATTCACCTCTGGCTCCTCCTAACTTCTAGTGCTCTTTTTGTTTTAATAACTCTCCGAGTTCAGTTTCTGTTGCTCACATGCTCACGGGTGTGGGGCCATCCTCTGCAGCTTGGTTAACCACTAGGGGCTGTACCCTTAACGAAAACTGATTCATTCTTCCCTAGAAACCATAAACTCTTCCTGGGTTTTCAGCTAGGGGTACCCTCCCACCCTCCACCCCTGGCGTCTGCACCTCCCTCACCCCACCAAGCTGGGATGTGGAGCCCAGTGCCTGGAGAAGGGAGAAGGATGAAAGGTTAGGCCAGGAAGATCTCCTGGAATCAGTGCTGACCTATGTTTCTCTTCATTTCCCTGTCCCTGCCTAGCCCAAAGGTTCTCAACCTGTGGGGCGCGACTCTTGGGGGTGTGTGTGAATGACCCTTTCACAGCAGTCACCTGAGACCATCAGAAAACACAAGATACTTACATTACGATTTGTAAGAGTAGCAAAATAACAGTTGTGAAGTAGCCCTGAAAATATGGTTGGGGTCCCCACACATGAGGAGCTGTATTAAAGGGTCGCGGCGTTAGGAAGGTTGAGAACACTGCTCTGACCAGCTCCTTGCCTATGTCTGACTATGCACAAGCTGTACTTTCTGGTTGGAGGGACACTTGGCCGGGCCTGACTATTCTTCCAGTCTCAATTCTGAACATTATCAAAAGGAGAGTTCCTGAGTGTCTGTGGAACCTATCATAGTCTGATAGGCATACATTGCTATGTATACCCTCTCATGTAGCCAAACAGGAGCCTTGTCTTTTTTGCCCACATCATTGACTGTAGTGCCTAGACCTGTGCCCGGCAGAGCATGGTCTTCAGTCAGCATTTTCTGCACGAAGCAATGATCATCCTTTCTTTCTTATGTTCAACATCAAGGACCTATCCAAAACTTTCTGTGATGAGGAACCTCCATCTTTCCTACCAACCCCAGCCCCTGCTCCCTTCCCATCTGCCTCTGGGAGTTGAAGTTTTGGGCTGTGTCAGTGAGTATGCCCTGCCTTCTGGCTTATTTGAAACCAGCTCATGGGAGTACAGGCTTGCATCTGGGAAGAAGGAAGGTGGGACTCTGCTCAGTTTCACTTAGTGCCCCAAGGATGACCTCTGACTGGTTTTCTGGGGTCAGAAAGTCTGAGCTCTTGTCAGAAGGTGGGATTGTCCACTGTGTTGTTTCTCTGTTTTCCTTCAGTCCCGTGAGAGCAGGGGATGAAGCAGAGGGAGGGGAAGCTGCTGACCTCCTCCCTCTATTTGCTGACTGGATGTTAGTAGAGGTACTCCTCTCCTGCAGGCTACAGCTGGTGACGGTGTCCTTCCTGGGATCGGGAGTCCCTGCTCCTGCTTGTGGCATGCCTTGGGGTAGAAATAGCTCTAGGCAGCCCTGGGTGTCAGTTCATTTCCTAACTCAGCCTTGTAAACAGCACTTTCGTTGCCCCTGGGATGTGTGATTGGGAAAGTAGCTGAAGTGCAGTTTCTGATAGGACTGCTTCCCCTGTGGTTCCTACTGTTTACTTTTGACCCTGTGCCTGGCTCTGAGAAACCTATCTGTTCTATCTTGTGGAAGGGTAGACCTGCTACCCTCCCGGCAGAGAACTGCCTGGAAGCTGATAAGATTTGGACTCTGCTCATCTGTGTCATTCCCAAACCATTCCAAAGGCATGTTGTCTAGGAATTGAGCTCTGTTGTTCTCATGAATAAGGTGTCTAGATTCCTGCGGTTTAGAAAAATAGATATGAATCAGAATAAAGAGGAAAGCTTGCATTGCTTAATTCTGAAGGCACCCTCCTTCACGGCCATTTTCCATAGATCTGAATGTGTTTGTTCTTCTCATCTCTGTAGATATTGAATAGCTGTAACCAAATCCTCACACACAATAGAGGGTCTCCAATCTGGTGCAGATTTTGCTAGTGAACCCCAAACTTGTTTGAGCAAGTTAGGATGGGGTGAGCTCTTATAGGATCCAGAGGCTTGGGACTGGGATGGTACCTAAACACCATTGCTTCTGACCCCCATCAGCTTGGTCAAAAGTTCAGAAACTTGTGCAAACCTAGCAAATTATGCTTTAAGAAAGCAGAGATCAGGAAGTAGTTGTGTGTTTTCTTGAAATGATCTATCTGACCTTGACTAGAGTTAACAAAATGTAGTATCTCTAACAAAGCATTTGATTAAAATAACAAGCACATCCCTACAGTTTTGGAATTTAAGTCTCACGTCAATGTAATATGAGGCAGCTAGAAACATGACTTACAGGTGACAGCAAGGGTGTGTGTATTCTGTTCCTTTGATACCTGACAAAGGATTCTGTTGTAAGTAGCTTGTTGTCCCTGTTCATTTTTATGTTGTGTCTCAGCACACTGGTGCCAGTGAATGGCCCTCAAAGTTAATGGACATTGTTGTAGCTCTTGCAATGGCGGGCAGACAGGTGGTCATCTTTGTGAGCTTCGCTGAGTCCCACACTCATACTGTAGTGTCTTCTGTGTATCACAAGATACAAATGGCATGTGTTTTGATCTCCCCTATGCCTTCCTTCTTCTTCTCTGTCTCTCTTCCTACATATTGCTAGCACTTACCCGCCTATTTCCGTTTCCTGTGGTTTCCAGATAGTCATGATGCAGTCCTGAGGTTTAATGGGGCACCAGTAGCTGACTTCCAACAGGATGTGGGCACGAAAACTACCATTCGCCTGATGAATTCTCAGGTAAGAAAGTTCTTTCTTGCAGGTAGTGCACGAGATGAAAACGACTCCAATATGGGCCCTGGTGCTGTGTATCCACATTGAAGCTGTCAGCTTAATTAAGTTTCTTCACCTCCTCCTGGTTCCCAGATACGTCATCAAAGAAGGTGCAGTGATCCCATGGCCAACTTCGTGATGTGTCTATAAGGTCGTCTCCACACTGAGTGTGCTCTGATGGAGCTGCCTAGTGTCTAGGGAAATGAGGTTCTGGTTTTCCTTGTGCCCATGCAAGTGTGCCTGTTATTTTGGACAAGAGACAACAGAGTACAGGGCATCCAGGGGAGAAGGGACAAAGCAAGCAAGGATACACAGAGTTCGAAGTGGCTATAAAACACAGCGCCAGCTTAGGGTATAGCACCAGTGTCACAGGAGTCTAAATAGAGACTGTGTACCAGAAGCTACGCATTACTTCATAGGTTTCCTAAGTCCTTCCCTTAAGTATTTCTGAGTAGTAGACATTGTACTTCTCAACACCAACAGGAACTTTAGACATGTTCTTGCCAAAAGGTCTGTTAATAAATTTAGTGATAAAAATGGAATGGTACACAGCCCGTAGCCAGGCACAGCACTGTGCACATGCAGTCCCAGCCACCCAGGAGACTCCATCTCTAGACAGATAGATTAGATAGATAGATAGATAGATAGATAGATAGATAGATAGATAGATAGACAGACAGATTAATTCTGTCCTAGGACCTCTAGTCTAGCAAACCTCACTGTTGGCATTGCTGTTTGCTCCTCCCTGTGCAAACACAGGAGCCTTAGCTCTTCCCCTGTGAGTGTCTAATCTCTGCCTCTTGGGACTCTAGGGCCTGGGCAGCATCAGAAAAGCCCTGCCAGCACTTTGCTGGTATAGGATCTGCTTCCTCTCCTGCATTAGGATCCCAGGGCTGAGTGCATCCACATCAAAGCTACTGGTTTGATTAGGTTTCTTGACCTCCTAAGTCCCAGATATGTCACTGAAGAAGGGGCAGTGATCCCATGGCCAACCTTGTGATGTGTCCACAAAGAAGAAAAGATGGGTGCTTTTTTTCTCTTCACTTTCTGACTCATTGGAACATCCAGCTGGACCCTGCACTGTTTCCTGTACAGTGTTCCTTCTATTTGAGACCCACGGTGGGAAGAAGGGGGGCGGGAAGCAAGGAACAGAACTGCTGTGCATGCAAACTTATTTCTTGCTTTTTGCTGTTGTTTTGTTGTTGTTTTTCCCTGTAAAACCTTTTTGTGGGGGCAGTATCTTGCTATGTTACCCAGTTCTCCTTACCTTTCAAGTGCAACGAGTCATCTGCTTAAGTTGTCATGACCAGTTTTAAACATTTTTGTTATTATCATTTCAATTTAAAAACAGCTGTCACTTTTTACCCTGGCAGCATCTGGTGCCCAGGTATTTTCAGTGTCTCTGTTGTCCCACTTAAAGATTTTTCTTTCTTTCTTTTTTTTTCCTTTTCTTTTGTTCTTCTTTTGTTGTTGTTGTTGTTGAGACAAGGTCTTCCACAGGGACCTGGGGCTGCAGACAAAAGTACACTGGTTGACTTGCAAACCCCAGGAATCTATCTCTGCCTCACCAGCACTGAGGTTACAAGAGCGCGCTGTTTCACCCAGTTTTTCTTGTGGGTGCTAGGAATGGAACACATGACCTTGTGCACACTCAGCAAGCATCTCCCTAGCCCCACGTTGTGGGTTTTTATATCACTTTGTTTAACTAGAAAAGAGATAAATCATTTAGTTTACAAGATTCTCTGACCTTGACTCCAGAGGGGGCTGGATTTGGAAAAATATGGTCAGGGATGCCTGCCTGAAGGAGAGATGGACAGGACAGAGATACACAGGAAGTGAGAGATTCCTAGCTTGGCGGCCTGAAGGAGGAGGGTGGCAGGATTCAGGTTGCCTGGTAGAGCAGGATGAGGCTGTGGTTCCCAGGTGCTGAGATTAACATGCCTGAAATTCTGGTATGGAGTTAGGGTCTTTTTCCTTCCTGTAATATCTCCTTATGTTTTGCCCTTACATTTCACCTGATTTTCTTCTCATGCCCCCGACACAGGAACTCTGAGCTGGAAGCACCTTAGGGAACACTGATATCTATCTTCTGCTCCCATGTGAGATGGACTACTAACTGTGCATACATTTACCTGAATAGGTAAAACATCATTCTCCATTGTCAGGGCCATCCCATACAGAGTAGCTGGGAGTAGCCCCGACTTCTGATTTGCTTCAGATTTGCTTCATCACTTGTGTGATGAATACAGAAAGGAGGCTGTGGACATCCACAGGAAGCAAGGAAGCACTGTTTGCAAAAGTGGAGAGATAGCAGTTTAGGCTTGGTCTTCTCATAACCTTGAGGTCAGGGACACCTTGCATAGAAATTTATGGCTGGTTTACTCAAGATAATCCTAGTACTTAAGTATATTCCTAAGAATACTTTCACAAGAGAGTAAAACTAATACGCACTACATTCTTTACTCATTCTAGTAGAGTGAGTCCATCTGGAAAATTTAATTTTGGGGTCCCTGGTATCTTTAGTGTCTTTTTTCTTCTAATCGGCTGGGGGAAGATACAAAGAGGAAACATTGACACTCGAAAATGAGCATCAGGATGCATAAAACAAGACACCTGCTTTGCCCAGGTAAAATTTGATACCCCAAAGTGAGCTTTCCAATCAGATCCCAGGCCCCATCTTGAGTGACCCTTTCTGCAAGTTTTTTTTTTTTTTTTTAACTCTTTAACTTTTTCTTTAATTGAATTTCTACTGTCAGATGAAAAACAGCACATTCCTCTGACTTCTCAGCATTATTTTCAGTGCAGTAACAGTAGGTAATCAATACCAGTTCTGTTATCTAGTATGGCCTGTCCATGTTCTTTTTGTTCTGTGGAGATACAGTTTAAACCGTTAGCTATTTTACAGGCCATCCAGCTACTGTATACACCCTTATCATTGTATACAGCCAGACTGGGGAGACCTATTATAGAGAGGATGATAGCCACAGCTCCAGGTTTTGAGACAAGGGCTATTTTATCATTTAGTCTCCAGTCAGGAGCTCACTCTGTCTCTGATAGCAGTGTCTTATTGGGCTTTTTTTCTTCCTGGACTGCTGGAAAAATAATAAGCGGTCTCCTTAAATATCAGTGGGCAGATGGGCAGATGGCAGAGCCAGGTGGGCAAACAGGAGGAGGGTAAGTAGATGGCAATTCTGGTACTGTATTAAAAGTGGGACTGAGTCAAGCTGCTGCTTCTGGGACAGTGGTGAGTTTTCTGCTGGTTGGTTCCTTGGCATACACACTAGGTGGTCAGCTGACAGGTCAGTGAGGGTTGTTGCCATTGTAGTGGTAGATGTTTCCCTTGCTATGGTCTGGAGTGGCCAATAAGGTTTCAGGTCTGGTTTACCTGATGTGACTTTAATATGCTTGTGTACCCCCTTCATTCTCAGTTCACCCCGATAAATTGACAGGATGGTTCCCTTTCTATTCCCAAGAATAGATCATTTATCAGTCTGTGCTGTGTGAGTGGTACTCATCATGTCCACCCCAGTGCAGGTCATCCTCTGCCTTTACGGTGGTGTCGAACTGCTTACAAATGGGTTTTCTCTGGACAGTGCAGTCTGATAAAACACAATTTTACATAATATACAGGAGTACATTGGAGTAGGGCATAGCCAGTTTTTATTCTCTTCATGTTGTAAACAGGATGGAGCTGAGGAAATTTTAAAACCCATGCAGATGGAAGGGAAGCCCCCAAACCTGCCCCTCCCCCCCCAGACAACCACTGTATCCAGTGTTGATGACACAATTTTAGGTCTTGCCAGTCTTAGGTGACTTAGAGATTCAGGGAAAGGTTTGGATGGTAAGATGTGGTTAATTTGGGTCAATCACTGCTGTTAGAGTTTAGAAGCACCCACCTCTCATCCTTAAGCCCCAGGACAGACAGCTGTGTACACAGTCCTAGATGAGCCTAGATAGAGATCAAATCTTGCTAATTGAGGTTTCTTATCACAGAGAAACAAGTACTGGGTAGAAAGCCATCATCATTACACTTCCTCTTTATTGTTAAAAGCAATTTCCCCTGTGGCTAACGTGGCTAGGGAGATTTTAAAGCCCACATCTCCTATACACTTTTAGGAGTCAGATATTGAAAACTAGTTCTTATGGAAAACTTTAATTAGCTTTTCTTATTACTGAAAATGCACAAGAAAACCAGTCTATAAAGAGAACACTTCGGTGCTACAGAGCCCACTCAGTGCTTAACAGTGTGTACCACTCCTGCAGGGGATCCAAATTCAGTCCCCAGCAACCATGCCAGGTGACTCTCAACTGTCTGTCATTCTGGCTTACAACAGTGTGACCTCAGAGGGCACCTGCACTCATGAACACAGACCCCTACACACAATTTAAGATGATAATACATCCTAAAGACAAGAAAATGTTTACTGTGTCTCACAGGTAGATTTGAGCCTGTTATGAAGTAGCAATGAAAATAATTTTATGGTTGGGGGTCCCCACAACATGAGGAACTGTATAAAGGGTCACAACATTGGAAGAAACACTGGGTTAGAGGAGTTTTTGTTTTACAGGCAGGTGGGAAATTTATGATGTACTTATTAGAAGTCTGTTTCACCTGTGAGAGATGGATTCAAATTGTGACTCCCTGAAGCTTACATGAGTTTTTTAGTTTACAAAAGGAGATAACAGTTTTAGATATATTAGCATTATCATTGTTTGTAATCTGTAAGGAAATCACATTGTAGAAAAAGCAGCTAACAGATGTCTATAAAACAGCTGGAGTAGACTCACATCTAGTAGCAAAAAGTATAGCTTTGGGTTAAAAAGCATGACATTCTTTTTTTGTTGTTGTTGTTTTTATTTGAGCTTAATTATAAACTTTTTTAAAATAGCATAGAAAACAAAAAGAAGAGATAGTATTTAACATAAAAGAAAAATTCATCAGTCATTTGTACGCTAGGAACATATAA